GCGATTCCTAAAAGCTCTAAACATCAACCTCCCATATGACCCTGCAATCCCCCTACTGGGAATATACCCTGAAGAACTCAAATCACTCTATAAAAAAGATACCTGCACACAAATGTTTATCACAGCATTGTTCACAATAGCAAGAACCTGGAACCAACCACGCTGTCCATCAAAAGAGGACTGGTTTAAAAAAATGTGGTACATATACACGATGGAATACTATGCAGTCATAAAAAAGAACAAAATCATGAATTTCGCAGAAACCTGGATGGAGCTAGAGTCTATAATACTGAGCGACCTCTCACAGAAACAAAGATCTGAGTATCACATATTCTCACTCATATAGTGGACCTTGATCATCCAACTCACTACCATAAGAAAATGACTGGCCGGGCTTGGTGGCTCAGCCTGTAATCCTGCGCCTTTGGGAGGCTGAGGTGAGTGGATTGCCTGAGTCCGCAGGTTCGAGACCCGCCTGGGCAGCGAGACCTCATCTCTACAATAAATCAAAAAAATTAGTCGGGCATGGTAGCGTGCACCTGTAGTTCCAGCTACTTGGAAGACTGAGGTGGAAGGATCGCCGGAACCCAGCGGGTCGAGGCTGCGGTGGCTGGGATTGGCCACTGCACTCCAGTCTGGGTGACAGAGTGAGACTCCGACTCAAAAAAACAAAAAAAGAAAATGACTGGCAGTGGTGGAAAACTATGCGGGGGGGATGGGACTAATGGTAGTAAACATCTGTCTGGGGACGGGGAGACTGTTATCAACAAGGGGGCCTGAATGAAGTATATTTGTATACCTAACCCTTAACTGTACCCCACAATATCAAAATAAAAAATATTGATAAAAAAAATAAATAAGCCAGGCTTGGTGGCTCAACCTGTAATCCCGCGCCTTTGGGAGGCTGAGGTGAGTGGATTGCCTGAGCCCACGGGTTCGAGACCCGCCTAGGCAGCGAGACCTCATCTCTACAATAAATCAAAAAATCAGCCAGGTGTGGTAGCGCATGCCTGTAATTCTGGCTACTCGGAAGGCTGAGGCGGAAGGATTGCCAGAGCCCAGCGGCCACTGCACTCCAGTCTGGGTGACAGAATGAGACTCCACCTCAATCAATCAATCAATCAATCAATAAAAAAAATGGATTGCATGTGTATGGAACTATTTTCTAGATTGCTATTCTGTTCCACTGATTTATGTGTCTATCTTTTCACAGACAGCACTGTCTTGACTTCTGAAACCTCACAGTTATTTTTCAAAACTGTTTTCCCTACTCTAGTTCCTTTTCATTCCCATATACTATACTTTAGAATTATTTTGTTAATACAAAACAGCCCTGTTGAAATGTTTCATTAGGATTGCACTGACTCCATAGAACAATTTGGGATTAGTTGACATATTAATATTGAGTCTTCCAATCCATGAAAACCATATATCTATCTATTTAGCCCTTCTTTGATTTCTTTCACCATTATTTTATTTTTCAGCATACAGAGTCGCACAAATTTTGTTAGCTATATACCTAATTTGTGTTTTAAGTGTTTCAACTTTTGACAAATTTCCAATGTCTAATTATATTCATTTTAGTATAGAGAAATATTAACCCTTCATCTTTGTTAAATTCAGTTATTAGTTTTGGTAGCTATTTTGTAGATTTCCTGGGGTTTTCTATGTAAAAATTGACTTCATTTGAAAACAGTATTGTTTATTACTTTCCTATCTAAATGCCTATTTTCTTTTCAGGTCTTACACTGGTTAGGACCTCTAGTATAACGTTTATAATAGGAGCAACAACAACTGCCATCCTTGTCTTATTCTCAATTTTAGGGAGAAAGTATTGTTCTACCATTAACTAGGATGTTAGCTGTAGTTTTTCATAGTCTTTACCAGAAAAAAGTTCCCTTTTTTTTTTTAGTCAGAGTCTCACTCTGTTGCCCAGGCCGGAGTACAGTGGCACACTCATAGCCACCCCAGCATCGACCTGCTGGGCTCAGTGATCCTTCTGCCTCAGCCTTCCAAGTAGCCAGAACTACAGGCACACACTACCATACCCGGCTAATTTTTTATTTATCATAGAGACAAAGTCTCACCAAGTTTCCTGGGCTGGTCTCAAACCCGCAGGCTCAGACAATCTACTTGCCTCAGCCTCCCAAAGTACTGGGATTACAGGCTCAGCCACCAAGCCCGGCCAGAAGTTCCCTTCTAATACTAATTTGCTCAGAGTTTTTATCATGGATATTGGATTTTGTCAAATATTTTGTCTATATCTATTGAGATGATTATATATTTCTCCTTTATTCTGCTAGTATGATGAATTATACAGGCCTCTCTTCCTGTGTTAAGTCAATCTTGTATTACTGGGATAAACCCAAGTTGCTCATAATATATTGTCCACTTATATTGTTAGATGTGATTTGCTAATATTTTGTAAAGATTTGTGCATATATGTTCAGAAACGATATTAGTCATTAGTTTGCTTTTCTTGCAATGTTAATAAGCTGGAAAGTGTTGTGCCTTGTATTTTCTAAAAGAATCTGTGTGGGATTAATATTATACCTTTTTTAAACATTTGCTAAAATTCTCAGTGGAGCCATCTGGGAACTTTATTTATTTTTGGAGTAAGGGTCTTGCTGTGTCACCCAAAGTGGAGTGCAGTGGCACGATCATGGCTCACTGCAGCCTCAACTTCCTAGGCTCAAGCAATCCTCCCAGCTCAGCCTCCCAAGTAGCTAGGACCACAGGCATGCATCACCACAACACCCGACTTATTTTTTATTTTTACTTTTGTAGAGACAGGGTCTTGTCTTGTTGTCCAGGCTGGTCTTGAACTCCTGGTCTCAAGCAATTCTCGCACCTCAGCCTTCCAAAGTGCTGATTACAGGTGTGAGCCACTGCACTCGGTCAGAACTAGATTTCTTTAGCAGACATAGGATTATTCAGATTGTATACTTCTTCTTGTGTCAATTTTGGCAACTTGTGCCTTTTAATAAATTTATCCATTTTATTTAAACTAACTTACTGGCATAGAATTATTCATAATTTTTCCATATTAACCTGCGACCTATCTTTGTAGGGTCTGTAGTGATAACCCTTACCCTACTAAATGTTTTATTCCTAAGATTTTATCAGCAAATTCTCTTTATATATTTTTAAATTAGTCATTCACAAATCATAATAATTTGGTAGTCTCGCTTTCTGATATCATATCTCACTTCACTCTCCTCTTTTATTACACTGACCAGCGACTCAAGAATACTGTTTAATAAAACTGTGATGCTTCCGGAGCATTACCATTAAACATGAGGTGCTCGTGGTCTAAAACACACAGGCGTACATGCACGAACACTCACACATATACACACACTTTCAAATTAAAGAAATAACCTTCTATTTCTTTTATCTAGGGCAGTAGCCAAATCTGGCCCACCACTTGTTTTTGTTATACAATTTTATTGGAACATAGCCACCTCATTTGTTTTTGTATTTTCTACAGCTACTTTTACATGACAATAGCAGAGTTGAGCAGTTGTGACAGAGACTGTGTGGCCCACAAAGCCTAAAATATTTATTATCTGGCCCTTTCCAATTAACAGAAAGGTTAACAGTTTGCTAACTCTCTTGATCTAGAGAATCTTTTACTTTAAATAAAAAATGGATGCTGGCTATTAATCAGATGTCTTCCAAATAATTTTATCACGCTTACATTCAAAATGAGTACAATCAATCAAGGTGTTTATAGTTGAGATTATTTTTGATACATATGACTTAGGATTTTTTCCAGCAATATGTATGGCTGAGTTTGGTCTAACAATTTTCTTTACAATATCTGCTAGCTTTTCAAAAGAAGTGAAGATTTTCCTTCTGAACATTTCTTTTTTTTTTTTTTTTTTTGAGTTGGAGTCTCACTCTGTCACCCAGACTGGAGTGCAGTGGCCACTCCCGGCCACCGCAGCCTCAACCTGCCGGGCTCTGGCGATCCTTCCGTCTCAGCCTTCCAAGTAGCTGGAACTACAGGCGTGCGCTACCATGCCCGGCTAATTTTTGATTATTGTAGAGATGAGGTCTCGCCTGCCCAGGCGGGTCTCGAACCCGCGGGCTCAGGTAATCCATTCACCTCAGCCTCCCAAAGCCGCGGGACTACAGGCTGAGCCACCGAGCCCGGCTGAACGTTTCTTGATCACCGTTATCAAATATAGTATCTTCTCTGAATTCTCAGTGCACTTCAAGCAACTATTACAGCACTTAATCATATCTAAAACATATTAAAGGTATTTAGTTTCAATTCTCCCTCTATTGTCTCAGTGTAAGAAAAATCATGCTAAATGTCTGCTAACCCATCTTCATATACTCCTACAGTAACCAGGAGTGAATTTTGTATTAAGCATTAAATATTTTTAATATCTAATTTAGTATTTTAATGCTTGTTCCTCACCTTAAAACCTGTTAATCAAATTTTAACTTTATTTATGGTGACTATGTACTACCTGTACAATTTTTTAAAAAATCAAATTATTAAAATATATAGTTATCTAAGAACCAAATACCAAAGGTAATTTTACAGATTCACTATTTCAAAGGAAAAGCAGGGACACCTTAATTAATACACCTCAAGGGAAATATGATTTATACAATGTATTACTTACCATATCTTATTCAACACATAAGTTGGATTCACAAACAAAAACTACTAATAAAGTATGCACTGGATAATCCTAGATTGATTTCACAACTATCTAGCTATATCACTTAGGACAAGTTATTTACTCTGTATGGGACTACATTCATCATCTATAAAACAATAAAGGTGATATGATCCTAGAATTCCTTTTAGCAATAATATTCCAAGAATCTAAAAGAATAAATTTATTTTTAATATTAAATTTCACAATGTTCTCAGTCAAACAAGTATTTAATCCTTCTAAATAAAGAAGTAAAGGTGAGGAGAAGTTGTAAATAAAACCCATTCTACCTTGATGAATCTTATTAAGACTTTAAAAAGTTACCTTTGTTTCTGGAAGACATCTTCCTTCCTGCCGATTTCAATGTTTCTTTGTTCCTTTTTTTCCTAGTTGCATTGATTTGCCCTTGACCAGATGCAGAATCAGAGTCAGAAGAGTCAAGTTTGACTTGGCGATGCCTTCTTGACTTGGATGCCTTAAGAGTTAGAAATCCAATTAACCACAATAAATTACAAAATGAATCCAAATGATAGATAACTTAGAGGAAGACAAATTACACAATCAAACTTGAGGAGAGACTTACAGAAATATTTGTCATTATACTACTATTACACTGGTTGGCTTACTATAATGACTTGTGTCATGTTAGTAATCTTTTCCTTTACAGCATGACAAGTTTTTGACAGCTGTCATCACCAGCTACTCATTCCGTGTAAAAAGAAGTTGTTCTGTTATCTGGCATGGATGGGAAATGGAGTAGTAGAAGCAAATACTGTTGAAACCCTATACCTAATAACCTATCCCCATTTCTTCTAATAACTTCATTTCCCTTAGGCATTCGGAGTAGGACTGCTGCATGCCTGACTTCAGGTATGGCCACATGGCTCACACCTGGCCAAAATGAGTTTTACATCCCCACGGCCACTGTGATTTGTTCAAGGTGGGAATGATCTGTATCATAATTAATAGAATGCTGTTTTACAACTGATTAACTATTAGGAAGGAAACATTCTTTTTTGCCATTGAATCTAAAGCTGGGAAAGTGCAAGGCTGAAGCTGTCATGAATAGCATTTGGAGGCAGCGAAAGCAACATAAACAGTAAGAAAGGGGCCAGAGCAGGGGCTTATACCTGCAATCTCAACCCTCTGGGAGGCTGAGGCAGGAGGATTGCTTGAAGCCAGGAGTTTGAGACCAGCCTGGTCAACAAAGCCAAGACCTAATCTCTACAAAAAATCAGCCAGGTATAGTGGCATGTGCATGTAGTCCCAGTTACTTGAGAGGCTGAAGCAAAAGGATTGCCTGAGCCCAGGAAGTCAAGGCTGTGGTAAGCCATGATCATGCCACTCTAGCCTGGGTGACAGAGTGAGACTGACTCAGAGAGAAAAAAAATGAGAAAGTAAGACATTTCTAATGATATCTACGTCTGAAGCCAGCTAACTTAAGCAAAGAGTTTCAGTTCCTATCATGTATGCAGTCAGTACAGGTTTTAACAATTCTTAAAAAGCAACCATGTATAGCTGTTGCTCAGTATCTGTGGGAGATAAGTTCCAGAATCACCCTCAGATACCAAAATCCACAGATGCTCAAGTCCCTGATATAAAATGGCATAGTATTTGCACATAATCTATACATCTCCTCTCATATACTTCAAATCACCTCTAGATTACTTATAAGACAACATAAATGCTATGTAAATAGTTTAATACTACATTGTTAAAAAAATAATGACAAGGAAAAAAGTCTACAGATGTTTGGTAAAGATGTAATTTTTTTTTTCTGAGTATTTTCAACAGTGGTTAGTTGAATCCATGGATGAGGAAACCACAGCTACCGGGGACTAACTGTGTTATATATCAACTATACCTCAACAAATGAAAGAAAATACAGCCATTCAATGACACACACATATAACAATGTATGGAGAATATCAGCCAAGCACGGTAGCTCATGCCTGTAATACCAGAACTTCTGGAGGTCAAGGAAGGAGAACTGCTTGAGTCTAGGAGTTCAAGACAAGTCTAAACAACATAGCAAGATCCTGTCTCTTTTTAAAAAATAAAATAAAATTAGAAGAAAAGAGAACATGATTGTTTAATGATTTGAAAAATTATTTCATGTCTTAAGATATACATTAAACATCAATTAGCACATGATATATAAAAAGTTCTGGCTAAAAAGAATTTGGGATAATTAGTTTATTGTCCTTGGGGATTTCATTCAATAATTAGTTTATACTCAATTTTCTGCAGTGTAGCAAATATATGACGCCTAACTGATCTAGATTCACTTTTTGTTTCTGTATTATTTTTTATCTCTACAACTAGAAAATGATAGTATTCTCCCACAGAAAAACACATTCCTAGGTACCTGAAAAAAAATTCAGAAAAAAGGTGGGATTAAGACATGAATTTATCAGTGCTCCCTTGTGAAACCCCACTAAAATGACAGTAAAAAAATAAAAATGCATCAGCCCACAAAACCAGAGATAAGGGGTAACACCACAATTGTAGACAAAACAACAAAATTTTGTTAGAGGGAAAGCAGAAAAGTAAGCGATAGCTGACTCAACAGAATGAAGAAGGCTGAAACCTACTTACCTGCACTGAAGAAGTTACTATAAAACAAACTGATCCAAGTGGATAAGGAATTGGAGTTATCAGAAATTGAACTCCACTATACTACACCATGTATAGCTGTCCCTTGGTATCTGTGGGAGATAAGTTCCAGTGTTCCACTCCCCAGCATCAAAACTGACCTTCTCTGGTAGAAGATAGGAGGTCTACGCTCTAAAGAGGCTAAATCAGAAAGGCAAGAAGCTTAAAAAACTGCTGCAGCAGAGGAAGGCATTGAGGCTACTCGTGAAAATAGGGAGGTTGAGTGAAGCCTGCATGAGGAATGGTGAGACTCTTAGCTGATTCTCTCGGAGGTTTCCAAAACGTTGGCAGCTGGGATTACTTCCCACCCTCCTCCTCTCCCAGATAACGAGATAAAAGATTGTTCTTAAATGACTGGATAGATCCAAGAAAAACAAACTCAGGGGTTAAAGAAGTTCTATCTCTTAATATGAACCACTCTTAATATGAACAGACATTTAGGGATCTTCAGTCATTTGAAAAAAGGCAACAAAATGAAAGACAGAATTCAAATAAATAGAAAAAAAGGAACTCAGAGAAAATAGGAGGAGCCATCAAAAACTGTACTTAATATCCTTAAAGAGAAAAAGATAAGCCGGGCTCGGTGGCTCAGCCTGTAATCCCGCGCCTTTGGGAGGTTGAGGTGAGTGGATTGCCTGAGCCTGCGGGTTCAAGATCCGCCTGGGCAGCGAGACCTCATCTCTACAATAAATCAAAAAATCAGCCAGGCGTGGTAGTGCATGCCTGTAATTCCGGCTACTTGGAAGGCTGAGGCGGAAGGATCGCCAGAGCCCAGCAGGTCGAGGCTGCGGTGGCCGGGGGCGACCACTGCACTCCAGTCTGGGTGACCGAGTGAGACTCCAACTCAAAAAAAAAAAAGAGAAAAAGATAAATACATCTTCTAAAACGTAAGATAAAAAAAATCCAAAAAACAAGGAAAATTCTTAGCAATGAAAAAAACATGTCAGGAGAAATTTTAAAAACTAAAGTAATGGCACAGAAGATAAAGCTTAAGAAATCTCCCCTGAAAATGAGATAGAGATTGAGAATAGAAAAAATAAAAAAATAAAAGTTTTAAGAAAGACGCGTCAAAGAACACTAACAAAGAACAATACAAAAAATTCCTCAAGCTGGGTGCGGTGGCTCTAGCCTTAATCCCAGCACTTTGGTAGGCCAAGGTGAGAGGATTGCCTGAGCCCAGGGGTTCGAGACCAGACTGGACAACTTGGTGAGACCTCGTCTCTACAATATATAAAGAAATTAGCTGGGCATGGTAGAGCACACCTGTAGTTCAAGCTACTTGGAAGGTTGAGGCGGAAGGATCACCTAAGCCCAGTAGGTTGATGCTGGGGTGGCCGTGAGCATGCCACTACACTCCAGCCTAGGTGACAGAGTGAGACTCCAACTCAAAAAACAAAAAGAAATTTTAAAAATTAAGAAAATTTAAAAATTCGTCAGAACCAAAGGACATGAAATTGAAAGGAAAGCCACCATAAGTGCCAAGGACAATAAGCAAAAAGACCTGTATTAAATTACACTATGTGGTACAATACACGTGGAACTTCAAGACTTCATGATAAAGCAAAAGCCTGGAAGCCTTTCAGGATTGGTAATACTGAAAGCCTGAAGACAATTAAGAAAATGGTATCAGAATTCCACGTAAATATCAGAAGAAACAGCTAAAAGAAAAAGTTGAAGATGTTGCCTCTCAAGGCTGGGAAGCGGAAGGTAGTGCAGCAGGGGACTGCTGGGCTATGAATAGTATTACTTGACTTTTTTTTGGAGTTGGAGTCTCACTCTGTTGCCTAGGCTGGAGTGCAGTGACAAGTTCACAGCCACCCCAGTGTTGACCTGCTGGGTTCAGGTAATCCTTCTGCCTCCGCCTTCCAAGTAGCCAGAAAGACAGGCGCATGCTACCATGCCTGGCTAATTTTTTGATTTATTGTAGAGACGAGGTCTCAACATGTTGCCCAGGCTGGTCTTGAACCTGCAGGCTCAGGCAATCCTCTCGCCTCGGCCTCCCAAAGTGCTAGAATTATAGGCTTGAGCCACCGCACCCAGCCCTATCATTTGACTTTTTAAACCACATACATGTAATTACTTTGATGAAAAACTACAATGTTATCATACAGTGTAATTTAGAAAGCATCCAATTTCCCTTATTAAAGAAACAACTTACCTGAACAACAACTGAAAAGGCCTTTGATTTTATTTTTGCTAATGATTCTGCCCTTTCACATCCCTGGAAGTAAAATAAACAAAGAAAAATAATTAAAACACAGAAACAGTAGGTGAAATTTTAAATACCCAAGTATTTGCTATCGGATGTAAGATTTGAGACAGAGGGTAGGGTAAAAGAAACTTATGCTTACTGTGCACATACTGAGTCCACATAAACCTAAACCACATTCTCTAGAAATGTAGCCGATGTCATGATTACCTATAGCTACAGGTCATTTCATCTAGGATACCAGCAGGACAACATAAATGAAAGCCTGGGTGATCAGGCAGGGCCCTGACTGCCATTCCCTCATCTGCCTGTACTCAGAGATGGCTCCTTGTTTTGCCCACTATTAGCCTTTCCTTTCCCGGTTGAAAACTATTAACACCCTCACTCCCAGCTTATACCTGATGTAGCCTTTCATAAGGTTTCCAGTAGCGAATAGACGAGCTTTTCACAGAACCATGATTCAGAATTTTCTGAAATTTATTATAACACTGACCAAGAGTCATAATGTTAGTACAAAGAATCACAGCCACACATGAAATGACAAGAATCTAACCAAACTACTGCCCCATAGGCATTCATACAGCAAAGTTTTCTTACCTCTGATTTTTGTGACTTTCCTCCCCTCTTTTCTTCTCCATCATTAACTTTGGATTTTAAAGATGGATTCTGAGAGAGCAAAAAAGTTATATATACATATACACATACATATAAATACACATCTAAACAAATATACAATTCAATTAATTACAAATCAATTTCAGAACAGTGAGAATCTATTTATTTTAATTAACTGAAAACTAAAAGATCATTTCACATTATTGTAGCATGATACATACTAGTGGTCCCCAACCGTTTTGGTATCAGAGCCTGGTTTCGTGAAAGGCAATTTTTCAACGGACTGGGGGATAAAGGGGAGGGGATGATTTTGGAATGATTCAAGCACATTACATTTATTGTGCACTTTATTTCTATTATTATATTGTAATATATAATGATATAATTATACAACTCACCATTTTAAAAAAAAGACATAAGTGGTAAATAAATAATGGGTAGAACACGTACAGACTAAAATAAGTGTTAAATTCTGACTTAAAGCCTGCCACCAGATGCAGCTGTATAACTGAAGTACATCAACTCACTTGCCATTCACTAATAGGGCTTTGATATAAGTCTGCAAGCAATTGATTTATTATGATCTCTGTGAAGTCAAACCTAACTGCTAATGTTAATCTGTATTTGCAGTCACTCCCCAGAGCTAGCACCAGTGCCTCAGCTCCAACTCAGATCATCAGGTATTAGATTCCCTTAAAGAGCATGCAACCTAGATACCCTGCATGCACAGTTCATAACAGGGTTTACACTCCTATAAGAATCTGCCTCCGTTAATCTGACAGGAGGCAGAACTTAGGCAGTAATATGAACGATGGGAAGCAGCTACAAATACAGATGAAGCTTTGCTTGTTCATCACTCACATCCTGCTTTGTGGCCTAACAGGTCCTGGGGGTAGGGGACCCCTGGTATATACCACCTGACATTAAGATCACAAGTTTCATTCATCAACAACTCATGTCATGTCGTTTTTTTATTTTTTTGAGCCAGAGTCTCACTCTGTCACCCAGGATGGAGTGCAGTCGCATGTGGCCACCACAGTCCCAATCTGCTGGGCTCAGGCAAGCTTTCCACCTCTGACTTCCAAGTAGCTGGAACTACAGGCATGTGCCAACACACAGGCCTTTTTATTTATTGATTGCAAAGATGAAGTCTCACCAAGGTGCCCAGGCTGGTTTCGAATCCCTGGGCTCAGTCAATCCTCTTGCCTCCACCTCCCAATGTACTGGGGTTACAGGCATGAGTCACTGCACCCAGCTAACCCTTTTAATTAAGAAAACTAGATTGAAGATTTCTGCTGGTGAGACTTGCAAACAGATAAACCACACCAGGCAGGGAATGTGTGACCAAGAAGTACCTGCCCTGTATCAGTGGAGAAACCACCACTAGGTCTAGCCATCTGCAGTCATGCAGAAAAGTGGGACTAGTGTTACCTGACCTTCTGATTTTTAAGAATTGTATGTCTGGAATTTCGGTGAAATCCACAAATATTAAAATGTTGGTAATTCATTCAAATTTTTAAAATAATCTTAGGGTCAACACTGTGCTAAACAAGACAGATCTGTGGCCCAAAGACAGATAGCGTGCAACCCCTAGAAAAGCTAAATTATGAAGATTGCAATAGCGCTGCTGTATAACAGGATTATTTACTCCTCTACAAAAAAATATATATACTCCATTTGCAAGGTTAAGTAACATCATACGAATAAGTAAATTATTTACATGTGCTTAATAAGTAAAGTGGAACTAAAAAAGTAATCCCTCTAAGTCTTAGCTCCATAGGAGTGGAACCACTCAACTAGGCCACTCCACCATGCTCCCCCATAGCTAAGCATTTGTATATATGCAGTGGTGAGGTACCAACAAGCAACCGCATACCTTTCTATCTTCATGCCACTGCTGGTGCTCCAAAACTATGTTCTTAATATTGTCAAAAAAATCATCCTTTATCAAGCTGAGGGCACTGTCTGGCTTGGACTTATCAGCTGAAATTATATGTTTCATGTTCTGATAATGATCATGAACATTCATCATTTCCTAAAAATAAAAAGATGAATTCTGTATTTCAATTTTTGAGAAGAAACTTAAAAGCAAAACCAATATAAAATAAAAGCACCTTCTAAAGTGACTTCAACTTGATAGGGAAAATGAGCATACAAGCAAAACTGGCAGCTTTCCAGAGGCATGGATTCATTGACTTCAATAAAACAAACATTAACTAAGACACACTGTTATGGGGAGACGTCAAGAAAAGATTAATTAGTTAACATAGAATTCCATTCCAGGATATAACAAAAATTATTTGTAGTACAACATATTATTAAATATCACCACTGAAACTTAAGATCATATTTTTATATCATACTGTCGCATAAGAATATTCACATAGTTCTTTAGGCTCTGCTGGAAATTCCTATGAAATGACTCTCTCTCAACTCTTCACAGAAATCCTAAAGCCTGTGTGCCCATCCCACAATCATTACTTCAGTAATAAGATTTAGGATTAGCCTAGGCAACATAGTGAGACCTTGCCTCTACAAAAAAAATTTTAAAATTAGCCAGCCATGGTGATGCCCAGTCATGGTGATATCCACCTGTAGTCCCAGCTACTCGGGAGACTGAGGCAGAATGATCACCTGAGCCCAGGAGCTCGAGGCTGCAGTAAGCAGTAATCATGCCACTGCACTCCAGCCTGGGTGACAGAGTGAAACCCCAACTACAAAAGAAAAGGTAGTGGCTCAGCCTGTAATCCCAGCACTTTGGGAGGCCGAGACGAGTGGATTGCCTGAGTCCGCGAGTTTGAGACCCAGCCGGGCAACTTGGCGAGACCTCGTCTCTACAATAAAGAAAAAATTAGCTGAGTGTGGTAGTACACGCCTGTAGTTCCAGCTACTTGGAAGGCTGAGACGTAAGGATCACCGGAGCCCAGCAGGTCAAGGCTGCAGTGGCCGGTAGCGTGCCACTGCCCTACAGTCTGGGCAACAGAGTGAGTCTCCAACTCAAAAAAAAAAAAAAGAAAAAGATTTAGGATTAAAATAAAGGATGATTTATGAAGCCATTTGTGGTATTATTTATTAATTAGACCTTCCTCACCCAGAAGCCTCTAGCCAATGAGCAGGTCTGTGGGGTAAGGAGAAAGAAAGCACATGCAGGCAGACTTACGAAAACATATAAAACATGGCATAAGAACTTTGCTCTAAGATCAGGAGAGAACTATTTATACTTCCACCATACAAGGACACTGCAACATCTGACTCATCCCAAGTCAGACCACTGAATTCATTTTTAGAGTTTGGTGAGATCAACACCTGTTCAAGAAATCAGAAACTGCTTAGTGGTTGTGAGTGCTCACATATGCAGGATCTGCCATGAGAGAACAGTGTCTACACATGGATAGCCCCAAATTCTTCACAGTGTGTATGGCCGCATGCCCATTATTTCACTCCAATACAGTACAGTGGAAAGATCACTAGCTGGACCTAGTTTTTGCACCTGAGTTCTATCATTTGCTCAGTGTGTGACCATGGGCAAGTCCCTCAATCTGAGAATTATGTTTCACATTAGTACAAAGTGAAGTAATGCCACCCGACCCACAGTTGTAAGTATTAAGCAAGCTTATATGGGTTAAATTATTCTGTATAATATAAAGCACTATACAAAATTAAAGGAGAAGCCAAACATGGTTACGCACACCTGTAATCCTAGCAACTTGTGGGGGGTGAGGCGGGAGGATCACCTGAGCCCAGGAGTTTGAGGTAAGCTCAGGCAACCTAACAAGAAGCCCATTCTTAAAAAAAAAAATTAAAGGAATAAGAAATAAAAGATAGTGCATGGACTCTGGAGCCTTACAGATTTAGACATTCAAATCTAGTGTCTGCACCTCACTGCACCTAACCTTATGCAATCCACTTAGCTTTTCTAAACCCCAATTTCCTTGTTTTTAGAACTGAGAAAATACTATCTTCTCTACAGAGTTATGGCGATGACTAGTGAAATAACATATGTAAAACATATGGCATTGTTCCAGGCACATAGTGAGTACTCAGAACATAATGGCCAATATTATAACTATACAAATGAAGAAATACACAGAAAGAAATAGTCTCAGAATTTCCTCAAGTTTCTACTTAAGTATCAGAAAGTTAAATTAGAAATCGGGTGTTTTGATTCAATATCCTAATCTCTGCATTTTATTATGACTCCTTAACCACAAAACTAGAACAAGTGGCAGAATCATAAACAGAATTCAGATCTTCTAACATGGTGACGTAATAGCAGCTACAGGCAGTAGAAGGAAAATAGAAAAGTATTAAATTTAAGAATTATCAGTGAGATTGGATCACAGGCTATGCTAGGCCAAGTACAGCCAGGAGACTTATTGAGGACCAGGGCTCTCAAAGCAGATATGTGGAAAGCCAGAGATTCTAGATAGAACCAGGAAGCCTTCACACAAATTACTTCATTCCTTAAAGCTTCCAAGTATAAGCATTTCATAGTCTAGCCCTTTTGCCCCCCCCCTTGGTACACCCTAAAAGAGTAGACCTTTGTGCATCATCCTCAGCTTAAAAGAGCTTAAAATGAAAAAGCATGTTTAAAAATATTTACATTCTACCACCAAACTAGTCAGTAGTCAGAAATTATAGCCAACTGAGTTCAAACCATCTTTTCTCATTAAGAGAACACTGATGAGAATAATGTATTGCTGTTCAAAAATGTTCTTTGTCTTTCTCTCCATCATTCACATCAGTATTTCTTGGCAAATTCTTTCCAGTGTCAATAAAAATCTCTCTTCCATTCTTTACAATGGCCATTCCAAGCTTTGTCAACTCTCAGTTCTTGAAACCCCATGGCCCTCTCTTAAAGTTCAGACTATCAGAACTGTTTGCCTTTTACTTCTCATCTACACAAAGAATTATAAAAGTTCAGTCTAACCTCCTTCCTTCATGTTTCAAAGGAGTAAGTATGCTCTGCTCAAGGCTGCTGCACCCACTGGGCTCTCAATCACAGATGCACACACCTCCTCCACAGCAGGTCCCTTGCTCCCTCCCTCTCTTCTGCTCCTTCTAACTGGCTCCTTAATCTAAGCCTGAACACATACTTTAACTCTCTCCAATCAAAAACTTTTCAATGATTCCCCTCTGCTAAAAAGACAAAATACAAATTCCTCCTATTATACAAAGTACTTGGATCACATTTGTTTTTATACATATAATTACTCCCACCTCTTTCTTGCTAAGCTACTAGAGGGCAAAGATACTGGTTCTTGTTATACTTCAACACTCATGTGTTTGTGAATCATACATTTCTAACCCCAGTCCCAGCTCAGACCAATCCCTTGCTGTCCGACAAGCAGGCACTTAGCCATACATAATTGAGCACGGACCTTAGCTGTGTTATTTCCTAATCTAATGTCTCTACATCAGTGTCTTCAACTCTAAATCTGGATTTTAAAAACCTTCTTTAAAAAATAACAATAATTTAAAAACTTTAAAAACACCTATTCTGCAGAAACGTAGAAAGAGAAAAATCTACACAAAACATCTTACATAGTTCACACATTATACTATGTCTTCAGGCATTTTGTAATACTAATTTCCTTGTAATACAGTAATGTTTAACCTTTTGGGGGGCATGAACACCTCTGAGAATCAAGAATAGTTATAGTACTTCATTCTAACAAACTGCCCACATGTATGACATCAATCTTTCATACAATTTAGTGCGGGAAGGAGTACAGAGACCATCTGAGGGTCATCCATGGAACCTAGATTAATAATCCTTGCTCAAAAATAAAGTCACTTTACAGAATAGGCCCAGAGTGCTCTCAAAAATCAACTACAAACTTCATAAATGCAGCTTGACAGGCTGATACTACGAGAACACAGGGGCATCTAGAGAAACATTTGAGCAAATGAAAGATCTGATCTCAGCTGGGTGTGGTGGTTCATGCCTATAATCCTAGCACTTTGGGAGGTAGAGGCAAGAAGTTCTTTTGAGCCAGGAGTTCCAGACCAGCCTAGGCAACATAGCAAGAACTCATGCCTACAAAAATTAAAAATTTTTAAAAAAATAGCCAGGCATAGTGGTGTGTGCCTGTGGTCCCAGCTAATCAGGAGGCTAAGGTAGAAGGATCACCTGAACCCACAAGGTTGAGACAACAGTGAGCCATGATGGTAACACTGCACTCCAGCCTGGGCAACAGAGTCAGACCCCACCTCAAAAAAAAAAAAAAAAAAAAAAGATCTGATCTCTCACTCCTAATAGAGGAAGAGACTAGGAGAAAAAGAATTAGTATTTCCTAAGCATCCACTGTGGGTCATATGCCATACTCAGCACTACAGAGCCATCACCTCATTTTAATTCTCACAACTGGATGATAAAGATTATTATCCTAGTATTCATAAGCAGGAAAATAAGGCTCAAAGAGATCAACAGCTTGACCAATGTGCTCCCCACACCCCCATGCCTCCCCCCTATATATTCTTTTGAAATGCCATTCATTGGAAGGTTGTAATCCTATAGTGAGATTTTGTTTTAACTTCAAGGCAATGCTTTTCTACTCATGTAAAAAGAATGTAATACTATTAATCTGTGCAAAAGATTTTTTTCTTCAGTACCGAACAACTAAAATAAAAAACTAAAACGTATTAGATGGTAAAGCTGTTTTAAGACTGTAAGTCTTATCTATAACTCCTGATTTCAAATTTTTGTTTTAACAAAATAGACTCACTGTTTTCAATGGTGGATTTTTAAGTAAGTGTTATAATAGGAACTTAGGAAATAAATGCATCTTGTTTAAAAAATGTAAAATAAAGTTACTTTAAATTCTTGTTTTATGACCTATTCTATGTCAAATACAAATAGTGGTTTTTAAGAATTGAATTCACATATCCTGAGTCCAATTTCAGGGTTCTATATCTTTCTGCTTTTCACTGTGCTTCAAGATTATAAATCTTGATATACTTAAGGTGTTTTGTTTCTAATATTTTAGAAATATAGCATTTTATGATTGGCTAAAACCATTAGAAAAACTGTCAGTATTCAGTAGACGAAGGTATAACCTCAATATGTAGTTGTCAAGAAACCAATTTTTTTTCATGTCAAGAGTATAAAAACAAATTTACCTCCAATGCATCAGAAGTAATAAGTTTCATCACACGATCACTTGGGTCCTTAAATTCTTCTGTAACTTCAGCTCGCTGAATTTTTCTCTTCATTCTATATGACAGCTATATGATAATGAATGTGTTTTAAAATGGGTATCTCTTGCAGAATATTTTTAAAGTTTTGAAATATTAGTCAGCAGTAAAAATTGTCTATAACTAAACATGGACATAACTGCAAGTGTATATTGGTTGAATATTCATATTCCAAAGACTATTAGACTTCCAAACTGTCACTTTAGATGCCACATCACATGCTTACGAATTCAGGTATGATTCAGAGAAGTTACATAATTTGCCCGCTAATAGCAGGACCAGAACTAGTACTTTTCCAATCTAATATCTCGATTGTCAAAAGATGGAAGAAATAACAACTTTTATTAGAAGTTTCAACACTTCACCAACTGATTTTTTAAAAGTCCTTGTCCTGACTTTCAGTAACCCCCTCCAATGTCTGAGTAAGGGAAGGCATGAGCAAATGCAGATGGCAAATCTAACTTCCTCTCCTAGCAATTTGCTTAATATGTGGCATCAGACAATGCTGCATTTAAAAAGCTAATTTTTTGTTTGCAGAAAAAGCGTAATCAGAATACATTTTCTCCTCACATTTTAAGAAGGCTACAAATCTTGGACACTATCAATACTCATTCCATTTTCTGGAGAGTAAAGTGTTTTATGAACAAGGAAATATAACTGATCATCTTAAAAAACAAATTATTTTAGGCAACATACCAATTTGGGCATTGCTGTAAAATGAAATGCTCTGTCTAGTCGTAGCTTCCTAAAAATAAAAGCTGCATCAAAATGTTGTGCATTTATTAAATCTTGCTGAAATTTTAAAACTTCATCCCAATCTTTCAGGGCAATTCTGATCTGCAACCAGGAAGAATAAAAATGCTGAAGTAAATGCAAATATTTGTATGCAGATGTACCATAATTTTATTTGAATTTTTTTAGAGTCAGGGTCTCACTCTGACACCCAGGCCAGAGTAATGTGGTGTGGATCACTGCAGTCTCAAACTCTTGGGCTCAAGTGATTCTCCTGTCTCAGCTTCCCAAATAGCTGGGACTACAGGCATGCACCACCAGGCCTGGCTAATTTTTTTTATTTTTTGTAGAGACGAGGTCTCTTTATGTTGCTTAGGCTGGTCTCGAACTCCTGGGCTAAAGCAATCCTTTTGTCTCAGCCTCCCAAAATGCTGGGATTACAGGCATGAGCCAGTCACATCCAGCCACATAATTTTAAAATACTGGCACTTATATTTAAATCATATTTAATAATACAATTTTTACTGTAAAAATGTGGCATTTATTTTACATTTCTGCTGGGGAAAAATAACTCACCAAGTATTACCTTTTGTTTTGGTTGACACAGTTGGGTGTTATATAATCCATACAGCAGATACAGAGCACCAACTCTAATCTGGAAGGTATATGGAGGTAAGAAATATCGCCAAGCCAAAGCTAAAGCTTCTTTTGTAAACATGTTCTTCTCTAAATTTCTCATTTTGCCACTAGAAGACAAAGAGAAAATGTATTATGACTCATTAAGTAAATAATGATCAAAAGCCAAAGAAATATATACTTGTTTAGACAGCAGTTGCTAATAACTGGATAGGAGTTCCATACCTGATTCTTTCATAATTCAAGGACAGAGCGAATTTTCTGCTATGTTTCTTACATGGAAACACAGACAACTACTAGATAAATGTGATGCAGTTCCGAAAGTATCAACTTGACTTGCCAAATTGGAGAGCAAGAAAGAGGGGGTGTCAAATTATTACTGGTTAAATATTCAAATATCTAATATTAAAATAAGTATGGTTATGTTACAGACTCCAAAACTGTATGTATTTTAATACATAATAGGCATTTCCTTCAAAACTCTCAGGGATTTGCACCAAACCTCCTCTGTCCTTGGGAAGCCTAGTGAAAAAGTTAGAGAAACAGCACAAAGTAACCCCCACCCTCCAGAGCACTGCAAGCTCATCAGAGGAGAGGTGGAGAGTGGAAATGCAAACACCAGCACACATCCAAAAGTTTTGTCTAAACAGCCACCAGAGCAATAGACTCTCTTGGCAATCAATCTATGAAATAATGTAGGAAATATGTTTTCTGTAGACATAAAGAGTATAATGAATAAACTACCTAAAACTGTTGTGCTGTGCCAAGTTAACCAAAAAATGTTAAAAAAAAATCAGGACCACTAAAAAGTCAATATAACAAGTCTTCTTACCACTTTGAATAAAACAGTGAAGGCACAATTTGTGCTTATTATAAGTAGTTTTCTATGTAAGACCCAAAATCAGTAGATTAAAAAAAAGAACTAATTTTTTTTTTTGAGTTGGAGTCTTACTCTGTCACCCAGACTGGAGTGCCATGGCATGCTCCCGGCCACCGCAGCCTTGACCTGCTGGGCTCTGGTGATCCTTCCGCCTCAGCCTTCCAAAGAGCCGGAACTACAGGTACGGTGCTATCACACCTGGTTCATTTTTTTGATTTATTGTAGAGACAAGGTCTCGCCAAGGTGCCCAGGTGGATCTCAACCCAAGGGCTCAGGCAATCCATTCGCCTCGGCCTCCCAAAGTGCTGGGATTACAGGCTGAGCCACCAAACCCAGCCGAAAAACCTAATTTTTAATAAGACCTTAGCTAAAATAAGTATCTCAAAGTGTGTGATTTAACAGATACAAGTGATTGATACACTATACAAATATAAATATTCAGGTCTTTTAATTTAAAAACAGCAGCAACAAGCAATAAAGACATTAGCCCTACAGCCAGTAAATGGGGTTCTAGTATAACTGGGACCACACTTTGGCTCTTAAAATAATAAACATATTTTAAAAATGCAAAATACCTACTAGAGTATTGGTAACAAAGCAATTTCTAAGGAAAATCCACCATTCTTCTAATCCACCTGCTTCTTTGCTCATTTTAGGCTTTCCATAGTAGCTAAAAACTGGGGTAACCCTAGCAAAATTTCCCTGAAATGCCTTTTCCCAAGAAGTGGTACAGTGGAAGACTATGAATTTTAGAAACAGGCATTTATAAAGGTTCCAATATCTGCTCACCCATCCACTATCCGGGTAACCTTGGAGAAATTAGTTAACCTCTTTAAACCTTAACTTCCTCATCTATAAAACATGGATAATTATACTGCTTTTTTAGAGTTAATAATCCTATGTATTAAATAAATTAAGCTGTAAATTAAGCTATAAATAGCAGTTGCTTATAAATGGATGGGAATTCCACACCTTTAGTAGCCATTTAAAAAAATTAGTTCCTCTCCTCTCATTAATTATACAATAAACAGCTCTTCATCCTCCATTCTTTGCAACTTATAAACTACATGTAATCAGTTTAGAGTGACAGAAAAAAGAGCTTTTACATTTTATTCTGAAAAATATGGAGTTATAATCATAGGTCTCATCCATTCAATTATTTGGCCTTTTCAATATTTTATGTACTATGTGCTATGCTAAAGGCTATACCAGATTCATTCAGTCACTGCCCTCGCAGAGCTCAGTCTAATAGAAGGAAAATTAGGAAGTACTACTAATAATGAATATTTATTGAGCACTTAAGATATATTAGCTCATTTAATCTTCACAACTATATGAGGCATTATCATTGTCTTTATTTTATAAATAGTGAGCCAGTGGGCCTGCATTCAAATTCAGAGTTGGGTTCCATGATCTGTGCCCCTAACCATATCCTATACTTCCTTTTCAACTACACAATTACAATAAAATGCGGTAAGTGGTGAGATAAAATAAGCACAGGTTGTTATGGGGGCAAAAAAAACCCCAAAAACAACAACAACAACAAAAAACCCATGAACACCTTACTTAGTCTACAAGGGCAAAATATGACTTTCCCAAGGAACTACCATTTGTGTTTCATCATGAGTTAAGAAAATCGTGGGCAAGCAAAGGTGGCTGGTGGAAAGCTCCAGGTTTAAGGAACTCGTGTGGAAGGTCAAAAGCAGAAGACACAGCCAGAAAGTGAGTGTGAGGAAGAGACTGGCAAGCGAGGCCGGAGAGATGGGTGGGGGCCAGTGAAGAATGGTCTTGCCAGCCATGTTAAAGGATCCGAGTGTTACCCAAAGACACCGGGCTCCACTACAGGACGGTAAGAAGGGAAGTCATATGCTCAAAGTTGCACTCTAGAAAAACAACTTTGGCTGTGGCAGGAAAAAGTAATTCAATCACGCAGGGTTTTGTCTTTGCTCGTGTGGTTTTTGGGTTTGGGTTTTTTGAGTCGGAGGTCTCATTCTGTCACCCAGGCTGGAGTGCAGTGGCATGATCACGATGCACTGCAGCCTCGACGTCCTGGGCTAAGGAGATCCTCCCGCCTCAGTCTCCCGAGTAAACAGGGCTGCAGGCGTGCACCACTACGCCCACCTAGTTTTATTTTATTTTATTTTATTTTATTTTATTGTAGAGACCAGGTCTCGCTATGTTGCCCAGATTGGTCTCCAACTTCTGGACTCAGGGGATTCTCCCGACTAGGTCTCCTAAAGTGCTGGGATTACAGGCGGGAACCATCACGCCCGGCCTGGTCGTGTGTTTGTTTTTAAACATGGGGTTCTAGGAGAACAACAATTGATAGTGGTTTGTCAGGGCGGAGGCAGTGGGGATGGGGAGGGAAGCAGAGACGCAAATTCGCGAGGAGGCCACAACAGGATGCCATGGATGCCCGATGAGATCGCCCAGGGCAGCGCGTAGCCTGAGCCCTGTGGCGGGTCCAGGCGGGATGGAGGCGGCGTTCGGAGACGGCCGCCTTCTCAGCCCTTCCCACGTGCACCACGGCCGGCGAGGGGGCAACTTTCGAGGGCGGGGAGCGGCCGGGAATGACCGAGAAACACCCACCAGAAGATGGTCCCGAACTTCATGTTCCTCCAGATCTCCGTGAAGTCCTCAAAGCGTACGCTGTCTGTCTCCTGGAAGCGGCTGAGCAGCGCCTCGCAGTCTGTCCGCAAGCCGGAAGGAGTCCCCATGGCTCGGCGGTCCTGGGCTACCACGAGCGGACGGCCAACACTGCGGTGGGTAGCCCAGGAAACCGAGCGCAAACGCCCCGCCCCCACGACGTGACGCACACACGCTCCGTGACGTACTATCCGGCCTCTTTAGTCCCGCCTCCATCCGGGCCATCATTAGTGATCATGATGTATACTGCGAGTGCGTGAGAGCGTGCTGTTCCTTTTCTGACTGAGATCACTTTTACCCAGAGTGTATAGGGTCTACCTTTTAATTCCGAAGATATTTACCTTTCCAGAGTTCCTCAAGCCCAGGAACGATTTAGTTTTCTTTTTCTGCTCTCTTGTGTAACGTGGCTTTACTTTTACTGTCACTCTTCTTTAAAGTGACCCTAGGGTGACATAAGTCAACTTTTGAGCTGGGGAAGAAGAGTCCCAACCCCACCCCACACCTGTAGGAAGAGACTCTGAAGAGGACTTGCTAGATAGATGGGCTACCCTTATTCTCCTTCTGGGTAGTCAAGACACCTTATTGTCTGTACCCATATAATTTGATGCTTAGTGTATGGTGCTCTCGTTGTAACCCTAGAAGCCTTCAACCACTCTGAAAAGAGGAGCCCTATCTCATATCCTCTTATAAACAGCCGCCCTCCCCACCCTCCACCACCCCCTCACCCCACACACACACACTCTATGCCACAATCTAGCACAGTCCTTAGCAGAAAGTACCTACTTGATGTTTTGTTGGCTGGGTTGGCTTTCTGTGCACACTCCACCTCTTAGCTTCCTCCAGGAGCTAGCTATGGAAGAGCATTTTGTACTTTTAGGCATTTTCTCTGATTGCGAGGCATTCTATGACTCTTTAGGAGAAGTATCCTGATATAATAGAAAAGCATTGAACTTTCTGTCTGTAGATAGAGGATCAACTCACTTTACTTTCCTGATCATTAAAAAAAAAAAAAAAAGGAATAGTTTATGAAAACAGAAATTGTATGTGTCATGTGTGAGCTAAGAAGCATAGCAGTTATGTGAACAACTGTGTACCTTCTACCTGTGAAGGAACTAGAACATTACCACTCCTTCACCTCAATCTGTGATTTCCTCCTCTAACTCATTTCTCTGCCTCTACCTTACCTTAATAACAACTGCCTTGAATTTTGTTTCTCTTTGTATATATTTTAACATATGTATAATATGTCTAAACAATTTTTTAGTCGTAATTGTGTTTTAGCATTATGAAAATGGTATTGCAATTTGTAATATGTATTATTTAAGTTGCTTTGTAAATTTAATAAGGTTTCTAAAATTCACTCATGTTATTATTACTCATAGCAGTAATTTGTTCCTTTTCACTGCTATTCAATATTTCATGATGTGACTATACAGTTATCCATTATTTTCTCAACGGAAATGTAACTGGATTCCAGATTTTGTTATTATAAACAATGCTAAATTTTAAACACTTATATTTATATATGTCACCTCTTATTTGTAAGGATGTCAGATAAAATATAAGAAGGTTGATTAAATCTGACTTTTAGATCAACTAAAAAAATTATTGTTTATCTAAAATACAATTTAACTAGTCATTTTATACTTTTTTAAATTTTTTGCTAAATATGACAACTGCGTTTATATATTGCAGGAGTATAGAGTAAATATACCTTGGATTAGGATATATAACTACCATTATCATCATTGTTGAATGCAAATGTTCAAGCTTACATGATAATTCCAAGTTAAGTTTTTAGAGTAGCTAAACTGATTTACACTTCACTAGTATAGTAAGAGAGTGCTTACTTGAGCCATATCATCTCAGGAACTTGGTATCTAAGTGGGGGTCTTTTTTTTTTTTTTTTGGAGTCGGGGTATGACTCTGTGTCCCAGGATAAAGTTCAGTGGCACAATCATGGCTCACCACAGCCTCCACCTCCTGGGCTCTGGCAATCTTTCCTCCTCAGCCTTCCAAGTAGCTGGGAGTAAGGTGCTTGCCACCATGCCTGACTAATTTTTTTATTTTTCGTAGTGGCAAGGTTTCCCTTTGTTGCCTAGGTCTCGAATTCCTGGCCTCAAGCAATCTCCCCACCTCTGACACCCAATGTGCTGGGATTACTGGCATGAGCCATGACACACAGCTTATTTACTATCTTTATGAGGATGCTTTTTATGTATGGAAATTCTCAGTTTGAATGTAGCCAATTTTTAATCCTTTCAAAGTGTTCTTGTATCTTAAGGTAATAAATATTTTCCCTATATTTCATTATAAGTTAAGCTAATACCAATAGTATAACTACTAAATCTTGAATGCTCAATGACAACACAAACTAAGTTTGTTTGTCTTTCATGTTAAGTTCAGTTAATGACAAGATGGAGTGAGGAGAGTTCTGCTCTAAGCAGTCATCTGGGGATCTAGAGTGATGAAGCCTCTGCCGTCTTCAGTGATTGGGCTTTCAAGGTCACCTTGAGCAAAAACATCTAGTCTGTAGACTAGAAAATAAAAAGAGAATGTGGGGCGTTGCATGGAAGATTTTTATGGGCTAGTCCTGGAAATGGTGTGGGTCACTGACCACTGCTGGTCTGCAAACTGTTTATTACCTCTCTATCTCACAAAAGAAATTGAGAATAAGTGTTGGTAAACTTTGTATAGCAGCTTGATAAAGTAATTTTGTATCTGTTGAATCTAATAAAATGTGTTTGATACAAGTTTTAAAATCTGATTTTTCTGATAATTTTATTATAGTTTACAAAAGTAATGGCTTATGACAGATTAGGGGGAAATGGCCTATTACCACAGATAGTTTGAGAAGCACTGGTATACACCATTTCAGTCCCCATCCAATTGTCCAGAACTCAGTCACATGGACCAATCCAGGTGCAAAGGGGACCGGAAAGTGTAGCAACCACTTGCCAGCAATAGTTCCAATCTATGGAAGAGATACACAAATCTTTGCTGGACTATGTCTTAGTCCATTCCTGCTGTTATAAAGAAATACAATAGACTGGGTAATTTATAAACAGAAACTTTATGCTTATGGCTCTGGGGGCTGGGAAGTCCAAGATCTAGGTACCAGCTGATTCAGTGCCTGGTGAGGCCTGCTCTCTACTTTCAAGATGGTACCTTGTTACTGTATCCTCAAATGGTGGAAAAGAAAAGGGGACCTAGCACTTTTATAAGGTTGCTAATCCCATTCATGAGGGCTCTGCCCTCATGATTTAATCATTTCCTAAGATTCCACCCCTTAATTCAACCACATTGACAATTAAGTTTGAACACATGAATTTTGGGTAACATTCAGACCATAGCAGACTGCCAAGAGCTCTGCCTCAATTTTATTCCAAAAGTCTGGTAGTGTTACTTTTCACTTTTCATCTACCATAATCCATCTAAAAATGATTTCTATGTATGCTATGAGTTAAGGATCCAATTTCATGTATTTCCCATATGTATAACCATATGTATGTATATTTATTTTCCATATATATAATTTCCCAACATCTGTTAATTAAATAGTCCATCCTTTCCCAATGATCTGATGTCACTTATATCATATATCACATGCATGGATCATTGCAACCAATATACAACTATATGGCTCTGTACCTGTTGTTGCTAAAAAACAGTATAATATTTCCATTACTGTTGGTATATAGTGACTACCCTGAGCCTCCTCGCTACCCTCAACTCCACCACTTGGGCCACCCAAGCCTCTCCCCTGAAATATCCTAACTTCCTGGCAGTGAAAATGAAATGGTTAAGCCTGGCACAGGAAGAGACTTGCAGTGACTCCTCCAGCTTCCAATCTTTTCCCAGGGTTACTATCTACTTTCAAGACTCTATTCAGATTTTACTCCACTAATACAATACACTAATGACTACAGCTTTTTAAGTAATCATATCTAGGAAGGAAATTTATGTTATCTTATTCTTCAGGAGTATCTTGACTATTCTTAGACTTTTACTTCTCATACGCATTTTAAATTGGACTTGTTAAATTTCTCTAATGGTGTCATTGAAATTTTGATTGAATTACCTTAAATCTGTAAGTCAATTTGGGAAGGAATAACATCTTTATCATATTCTTTCTATCCATAAACATTTCTTTAAGGCACCTCTAGCATGTTTTACAAAGTTTTATAATTTTTTTTCCTGAACATTTTACTTTTCTTTTGTTGGATTTATGTACCTTATGTTTTTGCATGGCTATTGTATTTGGTAACTTTTACTTCCTTACGTTTTTCTAATTGCTTGATTCCAATATATAAAAATGCAATTACATTTTATATTTTGATCTAGTTCTCAGTACCCTTATCAAACTCTTGTTAATTATGATAATTTTTCTATAGATTCTTTGAGATTTTCTACACAGATGATATCAGCAGCTGTGAACACTGATAGTTTGCTTTTCTCCTTCCAAGTCTCTTTCCTTTTATTTCTTTTTCCTCTTACTTCATTTACCTGGTTAAGATCTCCTCCACTCTGTTAAATATAAACATGGGCGAATGGATGTGTGTCTGTTAACCACTGTACCACCAGCACCTACAGGTGCTTGGTACACAGTAGGTGCTCAGTGAACCGTTTGGTGACATTTTCATTTCAGTTGTTTTACTAGAATTTTTATCTGGTTCTTTAAAAATAACTTCATCTATTTATATCCAGTATTTGATGAGTTATTGTCATCATACATTCCTTTATATCTTTAAGTATGGTTTCCTTTGATTCTTGGAATATATTTTTAATGCCTGTGTGGAAGGGGGTTTAAAAAGACATCTACAGTGTCAAAAATTAGGCTAAGCATGTACTCAACCTTTGCACAGTTAAAAAAAAAAGTTCCCTTCCTGGAAACTGGCAACAATACCTGCTGGCTAGGTTAAACTGTTTGACAGCTTTTTTTTTCACTTCTGTGAACCCCGCTAGCATTGCTTGAAAAGTACCCAGGCCTCCAGGATATTGCGGTTTGGCCCACTTGGAAAGTCCCAAAGTGGTTTTGCCCCATTTAAGCAAGCCTCTACAGCTAATGGGGAACCCTTGCTGTGGGACTGACATGTCCAGCAGGCAAATAGCCACCGGCCAGCTCTTGGCTAATAAACCTCTCCTTTTTATAACTTG